CTAATAATGCAGTAGGACACCACCTAGTGGTGACTTTTTTTTTTTTTTTAGTACGTGACAAATGCGACAAAGAGCAACTTTGGTTCATTACACATCCTGTCCCCAATAAAATGTCCAACCCAGCTTTAAGGCACAGCATATTCACTTAAGGCTGTAAACTGCTGTACTCACTTCAGGATCAGCGAGCCGCTGCGACAGCCCCACAACAAACACCAGGTTCCTCTGGACCACTCTGACACTCGCCAGATGCTTGCGATTTTCTGTCACCTTCTGCTTTTTCTCGTTTTGTTTCTGCTTCTTTTCATTCTTTATCCTTTGGATTTCCTCCTGTGACAGAGGCTTGTACACGGCGGGGTCCTCTGGGTACGGCTGCGCGACAAACAGAAATCAGATAGTGATTTATGGGGAGTGGAGAGTGTATAACATGATGAACTTAAGGGGGAAAAAAGAGAAAAGGGCGCATGGTAGACGTGCAGATGAAATTCTCTTTTGTGATAAATCTCTCTGCGCACCTTTCTGCAGGCGGGGCAGAGGCCGTTCTCGTCTGTGCGGATGCGGTGCCAACAGAAACGGCAGATCTGGTAGCCACAAGTGCAGGGGAAGAAATTGACGTCATCAATCTCCAGCGGCTCCATGCACAGAGGGCACTCCATGGGGTCGTCCTTCATTTCAGGGCTGTGGGACATCCTATTGCACGGCGACGTTGAGTAGTACTGGAGCTGGTCACAGAGCACAGGGCTATGAGGAGAGAGGGAAAAAAGCTTACAGAAACTCCATAGCTTAAAAACAGCAAGTATATGTTGCTTACAGTGTTTATTTGCAAAGGACATGTTAACTACTGGATAGGTCAGTTAAAAAAGTGCTGCGATCAGTGCTGTAGTTTCTATTGTGAGATAAATTTGTGGTGAATCTGAAGGATTGTGTTCAACCAAAAAAGCTGACTAATCTACAGTCTTCTCCAGAACAGCATAGTGTATTTAAGCTTTTGTCTTTTCAAACAGGACGCTGTGTAGATGGCATGAAACTTGCCAAATTTTCATCAAACATACATGCAAAAATGAGATTAAAGGAGATTTTTGTACATTCAGCATAGGGACAAATGCTTACAAGGGGAAGAAGACACATTTTGGTCACTCCAACATACGTAGTAGTAAGATTTAGCATTCTTAGGAAAATAATAGGACAGAGCAACCAATGTGTGCATGTGCAATTGGGGAAGAAAACAGCTTTAAACCTTTACACTATTTAATTTTTAATAATAATAATAATACTAATAATAATAATAAAAACAGACCACCTTAAGTAACAAAATTAGCAGGTGATGTTGATGTCAAAGTGACAAAGATCTACTCAATTTGCAAAGTGCTGAAGTGGGAAAAAATCCACACAGGGCTAAATATTTCTTGTAGCAGTCCTGATAAAACTGGAGTATCAACTGGGAAACAAACTTCACAAATTAAACTGTTCAGAAACAGAACGTCAGCAGAAGTGGATGCACAAGTATAAAGGGATCTACCAGCAACATCAAAAAAGGGACCGAAATGACAATAACATTTAATACATGGGAACCATGTTTTACAGTGTCTTCCCTGTTCATTTGAGTTATTCTGAAACAGAAAACAACACACCGGTCTGAGTGTCTTTGGAAGTGTCAATACGTGCAAGTCACTGAACGCAAGCAGACCCGAAACAAGCCTTTCTCTCCCTTCATTACGGTATTGCTAATACAACAAAAAGCTCCACATTTACAGGTCAGCTAAAAGATCTGTAAATTGAGAACTTATGTTATCCCGAAAGTGAGAAAAATCAACCGCTATGGATTCTCATTTAAATGTCATCAATTTCTGTTAGTTGCCCTTGAGTGAACAAATCCTTTAACTGTGAAAATAAGGCGACTTGGAGCGTAAAACATAGACTAGGATGCAGCACAGACAACTTAAGCGTTACCTTTTTTTAAACTTACATTACTGGCAGCTCAATCAAGCCTTAAAGTGGTCTTGTCCAGGATTTGAATGATTTTTAAGCTTCAATTTAGAGCTGAAAAGCTAAATTTCAAAACTCTTTCAGCTAAATCATGACAATTAAACTAAGAATACAGTTCACCTGGAACTACTTACAAGAGCAGCATTAGCCCTTTCTAATACAACTTTCACTGCACTACAAACAAATAGTCTAGTCTTTTCAGACTTCGCAGCCTCTGTTTTGTAGAAAAAAAAACAAATAAAAAATCACCAGAGATGTTACTGTGTTTGGGTTTTCAACTGGGATGCTAATGTCAACAGATGCTCATGCAGAGGTTGAATATTAAAAGTGCTAAAAGCTGGTGCCAGAATGATCGCTGCATAAGAGAAAATACATATAGAAGAGGAAGAGTGAGAATACGCCCATGTGATTTTACAGAAGTTTTTTTTTTATAGGCACTTATGAACAATGCTAATATGGGCCAGTTTATAAAAAGTTATGACTTTACAATGATCTAAGTTCATGTCACGCGGTCACTACAGTTTAAAGACATTAATCAGATGTAAAATCCTAGAGTGACCAGACTATTTTTCCCTCAGAATCATATGCATCAGAACAGGACAGTACTCCCAGTAACTGCTGTTTCGAATATAATCACTATTTTTCTGTAAATACCAACAATGGAGTGGTATTTTTACTCAAGGTTATACTCTGAGAATAATACTCCAACATTGTGCAGAAATAATGCAACAACAAGGTTATGTAACAATTATGGTAGGCCCAGCTGACATAAACAGAAGCTCTCCCCAGGAGAGCATTAAATACATCTGAACATGGATTTTATTAGACAACTCAGGCACAGCACAGTGACATACATATGAGCATATATCAGGCAAAAGCCATTGTAACGCTGGTGGGGTTAGGATTTGCTGAAGGGACTTCATTTATGCGGAGTGGCTTTAAACGTAAAAAAAAAACAAACAAAAAAAAAACAACGAGCTAAAAACAGAACTGAAGCATTTAGGTGCTAATGCGGATGTTGTAAACATCTCTCGTGGGTTGACAATGCCTGACACGTCATAATACACGTTAAAAGGAAACGTATAGCAAGAGAGTTCATTTGTACAGAAAAAGAGAGAGTGTCGGACACCGGCGTTGGGGTCTTCGTGACACCACCACTGCCGGCAGACACACTCTGTGACCAACTCGGACAGACAGGGGCTAAACCGGAGGAAGTTAATTTAGACAAAACGCAAACATCTCGGATGCTTTGGCAGCGGTCCGCTAATAAACACATTATTTACAGGCGTATCACCGTCTCATTGGCTCGGTTATAAAGTCAAAAATACGTAGATTTAAACCCCGGTGGGCGACTTTACAGACTCTGTCAGACACTGACTCTGTCTTTTGGATCTGACGTTATGACAGATGTTATTTGACTAACGTTGAGCTAAGCTAACATTAGCTACGTATTGGTAAGAGAAGCCGGTCTGCCTGTTGGCGCCTACCCAGCTCGACTGCAACACTGATCACAAAAGCAGCTCGCAGTAAAATGTATTCCAACCTAATAAAGACGTTCGCGAATAACGAGAACATGACATGACGCTACAGAGCGCTGAAAGTGACAGCTTGGGGAATGCTAACCGCTTAGCCTGCATGCTAACATTATCACCAGAAATGTACGACGCGGCCTATAGAAGCTAACACTGAACCCCTGGCCTTATAAACAACTGACATTGGTCTAAGGATACACAAATTACCTGGACAGCGATTCGCTGGGTTTGGAAAAAAACTCCAGTCACTTCTTAAGTCTGAAACGGAGCTACCTGTCTTTTATTCGCTGGATGTGGGATGAAACCCGACTTGGCTAACGTTAGCGTTACTTACCCTGTCCGTATTTAGCTTAGGATTCCACTCCAAAGGAGTCACACCAAACTGGGCGGGGGCTGCAAGCCAATGTACCTGAAATTGTAAAATTTCTAAATATGGTCACTTACGATAGCGGTAATCGTGGGGTTCTGTTCTAATCGGGAGGCTGCAAAGATGTTTTGCCCTTTCTTTTCTTGGTATTGTTAAGACAAATTACGCTCAAACCACCATCTTAGCTAGCATTATAGTAGGGAGGAGGGAGTGGGGCAAGTATTCGGTGCCATTGAGTCTGCGCCGATAGAGGACGGCATTATGGGAAAACGAGTTTTTATATTTCACACGCCCGCCTACGTTCAAAGCAATAAAATTGTTATGCAATGTCAGGACTTTTTTTGTGTGCCACAATACATTTCTTTGAACATAACGCACATGAAAATGAATGTAAATGCATACAAAAAAATATTCCAAACAGTTGTTCACCTGGACTACTTCCTCATCAAATGTCAGCACTGGTTAGAATTACTATTGTGTAAAAACCTGAGCTCCATACAAATGTTAATCATTCATGTATTTCTGATTTACAATCAAATGTATCAACAATTTAACTGATTCAAGACATTCAGTTACAACAGCGTACACACTGTTCTTTGAGTTTCTACAGGAAACATGTGGCTCTAAGTAATAATAATAATAATAATAATAATAATAATAATAATAATAACAATAATAATAATAATAATAATAATATACTTTATTGCACATGACTACAGTTTGCACAACAAGAACACCATGCTTTCAACCTTGCAGCAAAATGTGACTTTGTTTTTATAATTCTGTATCCAAATATGCATAATCATGTCTGTCTCATTCTTATAACGTTATCAGTGGCATAATAAAACAGTCTCGTTCTCCAACATGTCAACAGGCTGTAAAGAGAGGGATCTTTGACCATTCCTCTACACAATCTGTCTTGGTTATTTTATTCAGAGTCCAGAGTCGTCTCTGGTTACTCTATATCTCGGTTCTGAGGAGGTTTTATGTTTTTGATCTTCTTGCTAAAAAAACACCACCATATTCATGGGCATTTTTTAATTTCTTTTATTTGTAGAAACAACCAAATTCGTTTTGTTAACATGTCCTGTAATATGATGACATAAAATTAAAAGTTTTGAAACAGAAAGTTTCATGTAACCCTTACTTAATTTAAAAAAAATTCAGTCTCCTCCTTTGTTTAACATCTGAAATGCCTGGAGTGTTTGTTGCTGAAAAATATCAATCCTCATATTTTCTGCAAAGCACAGATCTTCCTGCCAAAGTCCCAAATGAGTTTAACAAACTGTGTTATATAGTCATGTGATTCCTATTGGTAGGTTGAAAAAGTAATTTTTTCTGGCCTGCCTTCCAAACAAGTGCATGATATGTATACAAATGCCCTAAAAGTTAATATTATCAGAAACCAAACTTGAAATTGTGAGATAACAAAGTTAAAAATAAGAAAGTAAAATTCAGTTAAAGGAACTTCAAGGGTTTTATTATAGCATAATAAAAAGGTAACACACACATTTGGATGAAAAAGCGTTGAGAGACAGGTTCTCTGGTCAAAAGTTAGAACCGTTCCTTGAAGAATAATTGTGAGACATGAAAAAACACGACGGAAACTCTGGAATTTAAATATCAATCGAGCCAAAAAAAGCCAGGCGTGGGCCACTTTGGTGCCTGGACTTTGCTGGGATCCACAGAGTCTAAGGTGAGTGCTGGTGAGACGGGATGTGGTGATGCCAGGGACATCCTCGCAGCCAGGAGGCCCATCCGAACGCAGCTGTCTGTGTCTTTTCTCTGAAGAATCCCTGCCATTAAAGCACCTGCAAAACTGCCAAGACAGCAGGAACAATGACTAATTGAGAATAAAATAAAAAGAAAGTTGAACTGGAAGTACAGTAAGTAGGGTTGGGTAGAGTTTTGCACCTGTCTCCTGCTCCTGACACATTCATTGTCTCCTCTGGCGTCACGGTCAATGCAGGGTAGTGTAACGCACAAAGCTGCCGCTTCTGCAAATCCAAACCCAATAAATAGCATCCTCAGTGTTGTTGTTTTAAATATCTTCATTATAAAGTTGCATTTAAAAGGCGCATACATTTTTTTGTTTCCTTGGCTGCAGGTCGACTGAGCCTGCTTCGTGCCTGCCACACAGCAGCACACCATCAGGCCCGAGAGTCACCACCAGACAGTGAAGATACTCCAGAAGAGGGCGTGAGAGAGCCACAGCAACCCTCAGGATCTCATCAAGAGAGGTAGGCAGCTCTGGCACGAAATCAACCACAACCTTACCTACCATCAGATAATGTGCCTTCTTCACAAAAATTCTTAGCTGTGACCGGCGTGGGAACTGAGGGAGTTTTGTCGTTCGCAAGACAGGCAAACGTAAAGAAGGGCAACATCTACAACTTTTAATGCTGGCTAAAGATAAAAGGTTACCTCCAGGAACCGTGAGACCCAGAGTTTTGTTCATTGTGCTCAGTTCTGCCAGGTTTGGAGACGAATAGGACAAAGACTTCCAAGCATCTGATAGGAAAGGCTTGCAAGCCTTTTCTGCATCTGTTGGTTCGTACCAAACTGCGACAAACACAGAGATCACTGTTTTATGGCAAAAGTGTCCTTTCACGATCATTTATTGGGCCACCAGCTCTGTATGCTTACTGTTGAAGTTGTGCTTCCCAGCAAGAGAACAGACATAGTTGATGGTGGAGACGGGGATGTTTCCATCAAGACACACAAGTGTGGCGGATGAAATCTGTTTTTCAAACTGTGAAACCTTTCAAGACACATTTAAGGATAGTAAGAGTGCGAACTAAATTTTCTAGGTGAAAATAATAATAATAATAATAATAATAAAATAAATAATAATAATAATAATAATAATAATAATAATTTTAAAGAATTTAAAAGACAAATAAAATAAAATAAAATAAAAAACCCAGATAGAAGACCTGCACTTAATTAAATAAAATGTAGGCAAGTCATTGAAAAAATACAGGATGAATAAACAGTCCATTTCAGTATTCAGGATTTAATATGGGACATAACTGTGGATTTAACATAGACATATGGGAGAATTTAATATGGAACAAATATAGATTTTTAAACAGAATTTTTCACAATCTGCAATGCCCACCATAATATGACCCCGACTTACGTTTAAAAAGTATGAAAATAAAACCTTACTTATTTTGCATTATTATAGCATAATGCAATACAGAAAGCCCAAAACTTTAATTTAAGCTCATTTACTAAGCAAGAAAAAAAAATCCTGTCTCATAATTTTATTATTTTTTAACTAAACAACTAGTGGCACAGGGAGTGTTACTGTTGATATTTCCCACAACCTTCCTTTGACCCAATAATTTCTTGTCTGCTTCAACTATTCACACGGTTGGAGAATTCAGAGAGAGGGATCTTTAACTTTTCCTCTCTGCATAATTTCTAGAGGATTGTTTTTTAGTTGTCTGTTGAACCATTTCTGTGTTGATTTGCCTACATGTGATCCTCAGCATGCCGACAGATCCTATAGCAACCCATTTTTAGTTCACCAGATTTTTATTTGAAATCTCTTGGTATTTCAACGAGTTTACAATGAACAAACGAATATTTAGCTCATGACAAAGTTAAGAGTATCTGTTGCTGAAAAGCTGAATGTTAAGGACCACATACTCAGGAATAACAAAAAAATCCAGTTTGGGAATTCTCGAAGTTTGTTCTTGACACATAGCTGAGAAGATCATTTTTCAGAAATTTCAACTGGGCGTTACTAGACTGATGTCCTGTGCAGTGCAACAACTCTAAGAGGATTCCCAGTTTATTGTGAAGTATGAAATGTCCGATTAGAAAGAACTTTGTGCTTCTTCTGGACACCTCCAGATAAAAAACCCCCACCTTTCCCTGTTTATATGGCATATGTGCAGGTCTTTTGTCTGATTAAAGCTCCTGGTTCCTCTTCGTTTGTGGCGCTAGTATGACAAGAGCCTCCCAAATGACTTCTTTTTGCATTTGAAATGATTTCTAAGGAAACTTGCTGAACTCAGTTTGTGCTGCAGTTTTATATCAGAAAGCTTAAGAAACATTTTTCTTTATCACGTTCACCATCCTGCTCTGCTCACCATGCATGGTGGCAAGATGGAGTTTCAACATGCTGAGTGATTAGTTGCTAAGAAAAAGTTGTAAAAAAAAAAAGGTTCAAACACATTTCAAAATATTTAGAGGACCCATTACCTAAACGTGATGCTTACCGATCTAATGCTACATCAAAATCTGAGGTAGTTTTCAGGGAATGATTTCAGGTTTCATTAGATTATTTTTCTTACACGGTAAGTAAGGCACTGAGTCGCACTCAAAACCTAATCTGCCAGCAGGAACTCACATAGTGTTCTGTAATTTGCTGATGAATGTCCATGTCTCCCAAGCCAAGACTCAGTTCCCCATTGTCAGTGATAACAGCGCAGTATGTTGCTGTGTTCTGCTTTCCCAGTCTGGCCACACCGCTTGTGTTCTAAAAGTAAGTTAAAAACATTGTGTTTTAAATTTCTATTCAAGAGTCCGACAGTACTGACTTTTAACTGGCTGTCAATGTTGCCGTACCATGTGTTTACAGTGGTTAAAAACTGCATCGCTGTTTGCATCGGCTCCAGTGGCGGAGATGAGCAGAGGCGTCTTTTCTAACCTGCTCAGAGAGTCTGGGAGGAAAACGCAGGAGATAACATGTGAGAGGCAGTCAGCCGTATTGACGGAAACGTTTGCACACATGATCAGATAAGGAAAACCAACCAGCGATGTTCCGTCCCACGCCCCCAAACGACTGACAGACGCTTCCTGGGTTTGTCTGTCCAAACTGTGAGATAAAACAGATTCTTAGAACTTATTTTTCTCTGCTGTTCGGCGACATTTGAGATGAATGCGTGTCGTGACGCTTACCTGAAGTGTTTTTGTTTTGCCTTTGGCAATAAAATCAACATTTATTCCTCCTATAACAACCTGTGCAGTGCAAGAATGCAAGTCTTCATTTGACTCATTCTTGATTAAAATTTAAGAAATATATACACAGATTTTTTTATACTCACAACTTCTGAGTCGTTTGGGGGTTTTCCAGGATGCTGAGCTTGACTTTTTGATCTTTGTTCACCCATCTGCTTCGACAAAGCACAGGCTATCTGACTGCCGACTTTAGCATTGTTGTGAATGAGAGCAATGTCTTTAAACAGGACCAGGTTAAGGGGAAAGTGGCAGTAACCCACGATTTGATCTAGAAAGCTAATAATCTTTGATATTTTTAAGGCCATATTCTTTATGACATCTTACATTTTCCACTAAAGTTTTTCTGATAATAACTTCTGAGAGACTTAGAGGTTTCCAAAAGATACTGGCCTGGAGGGACTTTCCTTGAGTCAACTCGTTGACCTTTTGAAGAATGAACGGCGTTACATCTCTGCCTGTGATACCTTCAGAACTGAGAAAATCAGAGAGACAACACAAAGAGATGAGCAGACGTTGATGTGCAGGAAACCAAAAATAGACTTTACGTAAGTAAATAAGTCAAATTTTATTTGAATCAAACATTTCCCAAATCAAATTTAAAAGCGCTTGACGAAACACAGAAGAAAAGCACATCAAATGTACACATCATATTAATTAAAAGCTTTTCTGCACAAACATATTTTTAGCGCCGCTTTATGATGATCAGTCGAATTGACATGACGTGAAAATATTGGGAGAGATCCACAAACTGGGTGCAACGACCCGAAACAACAGAGTTTTACGGGTCTTAAACTGAGTATGTGGGGCCAACAATTAACACCGATCAGCATTTTGGCAGAAGACTTTGGCTTAACCAAGTCAAAAATACTTTGGGGATGTTTGCTGATTACCGTGCTAGCGGAACGCAACCGCATACGACAGACGTTCTGTACCTGACTGCAGTCACTGCAGTTTGAATGGCTTCCTGTATCTGATGGCCAGCAGCTGCATGCTCCTCTGGGATGGGGACTGCTATCAGGAGGCCACTTTGAAGACCCAGGGACAACGTGCCTGCTGGAAAAACCAAGCAGACGTACACATAAACAATGTTACTGTGCCTGTGTAATATCAGCACACTGGCTGTCAAGTCGAGTTAAGTATCCATTTCGGTCAGAAGATTACATCCCGTCATCATCAACATGAATGTGACTTTAATTTTGGTCTTTTAATGATGAATGGTTCTTTTTCCACTGCTGACTTAATATTGGACACACTCATTTAATTACTTGTAAAAAGAGAGAACACACCCATGAATATATTTTATCATCATCATCATAATGATGGGCTTTTTATTAAACCCTCAATGTTCAATGAAAAGCCGATTTATTTCTACAATATATTACCAATAAGTTCTGCAGCCTCACTAGGATTGCGGACATTACACACAGAGGTGAATCCACTGTTTGGAGTGAAGAATGCTGGGAAATCTTTAGATTCACCATAAGTTGCGACACACACACCTTGTGTCTCCTGTAGACAAATAAGGACAGATGTACAGGTTAATCTTCAGCCACACATTACGATCACAGCTATGTATAAAGAGTAGGCACATTTGATTTTATGCTGCAAGTCTGCTGAAGATAACAGAAAGATGCATATTTCCTCACAAGGAACTCCAGGGTGCGGCCGATGTCCAGGATAGACTTGACCCCAGCAGAGACGACGGCGACGGGAGTTCTGCCAAGCTCTGTTAGATCTGCACTGATGTCCAGACCTCAAGAAGCATCATTTAGTCAGCAGGAATAAATGTTTTGAGTTTGATTCGACTTCACAGCCAGACGTCTCAAACACTGCACCAAATCAGACTTGGAGATGTTTTGATAACTTAATCCTTCCAGTTTAACAAACTATCACGAGGTTTTCTTCTTCTGAGAAGATTTTTAATTTAAACTAAACTACAGGTGTGTCAGAAAACAGCATTTCTCCTAAAAAAAAAAAACCCTTGTTAAAGGATATAAAACCCCTATAAGCTTATTTTGTAGTAAAGTGTAAGTCAGCTCACTGTTCTGTCCATCTCTGTGAACTCCTCCGATGCCTCCCGTGACGAAAACAGGGATCCCAGCTCTGTGTGCTGCAATTATTGTGGCAGAGACCGTTGTTCCCCCAGAGAGACCCTGAAAAATGGTGACAAATATCTGGACGCTTTCAAAAAATAGCAGTAATTACAATAGATTACAAAGTCAAGATGTTTCCAGACACACAATGCCTTTAAAATGTATTAAACTTTTTCACGTATTTTATAAAACTTTATTGGGATTTTACATCAATCAAAAGTAGCGTCTTATGGTGATGTGGAAGGAAACTGGTGCAGTTTTGCAAATGAAAACCTCAAAAGTGCTCAGTGCTGAAATCTTTAGACTTAGTTATCATTCTTCTGCCACTTCACCATTCTGCAAAACATCTCTTCAAAAATACATCAGTGTTTGTTTTTGCAATGTCACAAAATGAGAAAACACTAAATAGTTAACATTTCTGCTTGGGGTTCAAAAGTAGCATCCTCACTTTGCTGACAGCGTAAGGCAGATCCCGTCGAGACACCTTCAGGGGGCTTTTGGATCGAGCGAGACGGTCGAGCTCGTTTGACGACAATCCGACCCAGATTTCGCCGTCGACGACGCCGATCGTGGCAGGAGTGGCTCCTTCGGCTCGCACAATGGCCTCAACCTCCTTTGCGGTGCTGAACAGAAACAGCAGGCGAGCTTACCGCTTGTTAGTGAAACTCACCCTGAAAACTTTAAACGTCTGATAGTGTTTTGACCTCGGTGTCATACTGGGTACCTCAGGTTGTGTGGGTAGGGCATGCCATGGGTGATAATTGTACTCTCCAGTGCAACCACCGGCTTGTTTTGTGCCACAGCCTGAGACACAGACGGATGAACGTTGAAGTGGAAGTCTGACAGAGAAGAGATAATCGGCATCACCAGCCTGCAGCAAACCGTTTCTCAGTGCTGAGGGTTTGATGAGGAAGTGTGTTCACCTTTGCTCCTCGCAGTGTTTTGATAGAGCCTCACTTCTCTTCTGAGGATGAACTGGAAGGCTCTCCTCAGGTCCCTCATTCTGCTGAGATTTTTGTGATAAAACCTGACAACATGCAGACTTTGAATAAAGCAGTCTAAACTCTTACTATGGTCAGTTTTATTAAATCAGGTTTTCGGCAGCTGGAACTCAGATTTTAAACCAATTAAGCATATCACTCCAACCTATAATTTGTAACCTATAAAGAACGAGTTACAAATTTAGCTCCTGTTACTGTTGAGAAACAGAGGAAACTGATCGCCAGCTCCTTATTTAACGTTTATCAAACAATGCAACTCAAAGATTAATTGATGTAGAAAAAAAATATCAGAGGTCAAGTTTCAAAAGACTGTAGCTATCAAAAGTGTAAAGCTGAAGATTTCTGGGAAATGATATTTAGAAAACATCTGCCATTATTTGAACGAAGAAGAATTTTACCTCAGATTCTCCAAGAGTAAATGTAGACCTTTGCTTCTTGCAAGTCATTTCCCAGCCTTCAAAGCAAGTTTGCCACTACAGGGTACAGATCCTATTCAGCCATTGAGGGAGCTTTTTTTATTTATTTTTTTTGTCCCAGTTATCTGGCACAAACTCCCATCACCCTTTTTCCCTTTTCTGGGGCCACTCTCACAATTAGACACACAAATCCCCAAGCGGGAGCGCTTTCATTTTGCCTCTTCTCCGTGGCACACAGCAACAGCAACAAAAGGAAATTCGTAAAAAACTGCACATTGGAGCAGAGATGTAGTTTAATTGCCACAAAACAAATCCTCATAAGCCTCTGAAGACAACCAGCTTGAAAACAAAACCAGCTCTTTGGGTTTGAATGCACGTTTTAGTTTTGAAGAAAAAATACATACATTTCAAAGGGGAAACAAAAAAACATATTTAATATAGAAAAACAAGCTGTCAAAAATAACTAATACAAGAAGGATTTTTTTTTAAAGGAAAACAAAAACTAATTACATCAAATAAATACCTAAATCCAAAGTAGTTATAGCATAATAGGAACATAGAGAGCAGGAGGTCACATTTCGCAGCTTATTATTATTTCCTCAAACCAGACCTTAATCAAAAACAGATTCTCCAGAAAAAGTTTGAAGCTTACCTTCTCTTGTCCAACAAAAATGCAACAAACTTTGGCCAGGGAGCTAAACTTTGACCCAAACACTATTTACACAGCCCACAATCGTCAAGCACAGATCTCTACTGTCTGCGCTGAAACCTGCCAAAAAATACTACAATCACTGTGATATGAAAAAACAATGCAAAAAAAAAACAATCCAACATATAAAAAATTTCCAGCGCTGCCTGATCTAGAGAATGAAATGATCTTTATCAAGTTTCTGGCGATTAGACAAGCATCTCTCAATGGAAAATCTATTTTTCATTTACATTTTATTACAAAAGTAAATAAAATGTAAAATAAAAAACACATGTGGAAAATGATTTATGCCCTTCTCAATGATGAGTGAAAAAAAAAATCTTTATTGGCTTCTACATCAAATAAAACTTCATAATTGCTGAGCAGCTTACTTGTTTTCTCTAAGTCTTTGAGACTGGAAGGCCTCCTGGCCATCACCCTAATCTTTAACTCCCTTCACAGAAAGAGGACTTTATTCCCAAACCGGCCAAGGATATAAATAGCGTTTTACCCTGTAAATGTCACACAGCAGATTAATATGACTCTCCTTTGAAATAAACAGGGAGGTGAAAACCTCCAGGTCATCTTGTTAAAGCAGCTGAATCCCCTGAACAGTGTGAGAGTTGAACTCCAGCGTTGAGGCCATTTCATCCATTTCAGCCAGCTGAATCTTTGTGTCATTTATTGTTACAACACTTTTTTGGATCTCCGTGTCACTGATGAGTTGGACCGAATTGAACACGCAGGCTAAGTGATCTGTGATTCTTATTTTCTTTTCATCGCATTCCTCTGTGGCCTCCAAGTGCTCCAGCTCAGAGCGCTCCAGTAACTCCTCCTGGAACCAGTACGGATGCTCCAGCTGATACTGGCGAAAGGCCTCTATGGCCTCTTTTAGGGCGCCCCCTGAAGGAGACTCGTGGTATTTGTCCTCCGAGAGTCCGTTGATTTGCTTCACTAGGCCCGGTTCGTGTTTTTCTGTGTCCAGGATTCTGAAGAAGACCTCCTCAAACTGTTTCATCAGCTTGTAGCGCACTGTGATCTTGAAGGGCAAGGGGACGTCTTCCTCTGAACAAACGTCATCAAAGTACGCCACAATATACTTTTCAAATGACACAGACCGGACAAAAGATGGCGCCAGGAGAGTGAGGGAAGGAGTGAGCGTGTCACCGATGGGAGAGAGAGCGTCCTCTCTCAGAAAAACTTGTTTGCCTCCGCACATGGCTCTCCATTTAGCTTGGACTCCTCGGGAGCAAAGAATTAATATTTTATCCGAAGACCTCTCGATTTGCTCTTTGTGCCACTCAAGCCACTGGATGCTGCCCAGCACTCCCAGTCTGGTTGAGTCCAGCAGGTCGAGGACCACGTCTGTGCCACAATTTGCCGCCAAGAAGGCAGCAAACTTCAGAACGATGTTCTTATATAACAGATGGTCGAGAGAGTAAATGACGAGGACACGTTTTCTCTCTTGAACGTGAAAAACGTCCGGTTGCTGCTTGTCAGCCGAGGCCGGGGTGACAGGAGCCGCTGAGATACAAAGTGGAGTCACCATTTATCTGTTAGAGCCTCCAGTTGTACGTTTTGTTTTAGCGCATTTAAAAGGAAACTAACCTTTGTGAGACGCTTTCTGCAGTAAGTAAACAAGAACACCAAGAAAGACGAAAATCATTCCTAAACAGATCTTTATAGATCTGCTGCCTGTCATTAAAGAAACATCAAGAAACAAAGAAAAATATTATTAAAAGAAAAAAGATGAGCAAAATATTACATCTGAAAACTTACAGACAAACATGAAACCTACTTTGGCTTCTTCTTATGTTTTTCTTAGCACTCTCACAGTTATTTTTGCAGCCAATGAAATATGGTTGGATCTGTAAAATAAAGTGAGATAAACTCTTAAAATGTATTGTCTTATTAAGATTTGGCTTTGGAAATCTGACTCACCGTTACTTCATATTGTGCCAACTGAGACGAAACACACTCCAGCGTCACATTCAGACGCATCCTGTTTTCCTGTTGATTTACCAAACAGAAAATAATTAATCCCAGATAAGGAATATAAGAGTTATTACCCCAATCGTTTACTTTCATAGACGATGTTCTTACAGGGGCATCTAAAATAAGACAGAATAGTAGGCTGAAGTTAATTTATTTAAGCAACTTAATTCAAAAAGTAAAACCTCATACATTCAGTAATAAAAGGATGGCAACAACAACAAATATCTCTAAAGGGACCAAAGGGACTAAATTTACCTCAGTTGTTATTAACAACTGAAATAGTCAATACCTATTTAAAAGTTTAATAAAATCTGTCAGTAGACCAAGATCAGATTGAAAGTTGAATCTTCTGCCTTTTCAGTTTCCCTCCCAAATGAAAGATGTTGGTTTCAATCAAAATGCAAAGGAGGATTTCATGTGAAAAGAGGATTTTGGGCCACTGAGTTTAATTCCAGCTATTTAATATTTAAGACAATTGACTCTCACCAAAATGCCCAAGTGGACTTTACTTCACAGTCTTCTCTAGGCTGCAGTTATCTGTGTCGCTTGTGCGCCTTTTATATGTTTTCCTCACACTTAACTTGAGCAGCATTAAGAAGCTGCTATTTTTGGATTCGATAATGGGAATGCGTAAACTTTTATATGACATATTTTATCAAAGCGCATCTGTGGAGGCGCTACCTTATTGACCAGTTTAGAACAATTTACACTCCCGCTCTGCATGGAGACCAGATAGCTCTCTGAATACTCCGCCGAGTCAAACTCCACAATAATCAAGTCTTTCTCCTCGATGAACGCAGCAGCTATCCTGGGGTTCCACAGACTACCTAATTTATCCAAAGACAAACAAAATCAGGTGCATTTCAGTCCTTGAGCTCCCAGTGCACCACATTTGAACTCAAGAGAAGATGAAACATTTACCGTTCTCCTGGCACAGACGGGAGTTTTTGATTCTGGCGTCTTTACATCCTGGCCCAGACAGAAAATATGACAAACAGCTGATTAGAACATTTTATATTTATTGCTATTATTGGTGACATTATTTAACTATTATTATATGTAGTGAGAGACAAAATTTTGTAACATCACTGGCCTGCAGGATCTTATGTTAATAAAAATAAGCACTTTTCTCTGTGCTAAATTTGTTTCTGTTGAAATAAAGCTCAAAGAAACTGTCACTGTCTCTATCTAAAGGCGAATCACCTGGTACAGTAGTTTGGTTCACAATCCTGTAATGTCCAACGTCAGGTTCAGGAAAGTGAAACACTGTGATGGTGTACGTATGCTTCGGTTCTGCCACAACATCCAAGGAAAAAGTCCACTGGCAGCAATAAACCAAAGACGAACAAAATAGTGACACGATCAAAATGAATTCTTTAAAATTTCAGTGAAATTTGATATGTAACACACAATCAAAGTATTCAAAAAATAATGCCAATATTTTTCTTCTTAGCCCCCGTTCATGACAGAGAAATATTTCAATTAGACCAGAGACAGAAAACAGTCAAATTACACGCAAAGATTTCTGTTTTTCATTTCTTTTGTTATTTTTGTTGTGTCAATACAACGTGGAAACTAAAACATCTGTTGTCATATTTTAAATGCTGTTTTGCTAAGGAACCAAACAGAACAGCTTTAAACGTAATGTTTCATCAGGAAGCCAGACGTTCTATGAGAGTCAATAGATGGCAAACAACGTTAAATAATCAAATGGTTTGATTATTAAAATAAAAGCTGTGTTTTTGAAATCCTCCTCAAAGAGGCCGATAGAATCGCAGGAGAGCATAAACCTGATCATGGAAACAAGAATGGTACAAAACAAAACAGTAGGTTTGATGACAACAGAAACACTTGCTTGCTCTTACCCTTTCCTCCTTTGAGTTTTCCATATTCTTCACAGAGAAATGAATCTGCTCACACGCACTTTGATTTGTATTTTCATCTCTGACGTTTATCTCTGAGCCACGAATTGCCCTAAAGGACCCTGTGAACACACACCAGTGCAACAGTTCATCATCCCAGCAGGGTACATAATCAAAAAACAACAACAAAAAAAGAACATCAAAAACACAGATCTCTTTTGCTGGAACGAGACTCGCTCACCATCACTTCGTAGTTTCCAAGCCACATTCACAACTACAGCTGATCCATCCTGGCTGATTTTTATTTGTACAGAATCCCACTCTGGACCGGTGGAAGCATTCATCCGAGGAACCTTTTCCATGGCTGAGCAACTGGCTGACATTGGAGAGTTTGATATTAATATAAGTCATCCACTCTGAACAATCCCACACAGCCCTGTCATTGTGTCACATTGTTTTGTGATTTCTAAAATAAAATGTCCATTTATGTATATCTTGCTTTAAAAAGCTGCAGTCCCATCTGAAGAACAGAAAAGCCTCATGCTGGTTTTCCCCTCACATCCCACTGTGTTTATATTACAACGTGTCAGCATTGTAATTTGTTTAGTGCCAAACATACATTTGGAAATATGGTCCCAAAGGTAAGCGCTTTGTCAAACCATAATTTTACCCAAGCCTGGATTATTTCTTTGGAAGAAAAAGAAATAACCTTAACCCTAGCCTGGTTTCATCAAGTCCTTGTTGTTCCATCAGTGGAGGTTTTTTGGTACCTTTCTCCTGACAGATACCTTTGTTCGATTAGATCCATCCAGAAAAAACCCTAAGGTAGTTCAGCTTTATCTCACATCAACCAGGTTCACTATAATCGAGTGTGTATTCTATCAAGCATGATGCAAACTTTTATTTATTCAGGTTATTCCATATTTATTTTTCCCTGAAGGGTTTGTTTTCTTAACTGAATTGTACAGAATAAATGTCACATTATGGGTGGAAAGAGAAAATAATTTAGCACGGTTTCATCCGTTTACATCTCAAGAGCTTTTATTAACAAAGATGTGCAGACTTTTAGGAGACACTGTACATTTAAGTGACCAGTTTGTCAATGGTAAAACAACTTAAAGCAAAAATGATACTTACAAACTCTGTAATTCTCAAGGCCCTGCAAATAAAAGAAAACACAGAAAACATACATGCTTTTGTGCAATTTATTTTAGTAGAACCATCAGTAAATTTGAAGGCAGTATTTAAATCTCACCGTCTGATTGCAGTCCTTTGTCAAAAGCCTAAGAGATGATGGTGATCCTGA